AAAACGCGGCTAGCCGCCATTATACGTGCTTCACGCCCCTAGAGTGGAAAGTGATCTGATAGCGGATTTTTATAGCGCGCCTGGAGAGCTTTTCAACGGCGCGTCATCTATTCTTTCACACCGGTGGAAATTTTTTGGAGAATGCATTTTCAGATGAGTCATCTTTCTCCATATATAATCTCTTCCTACTTTTTTCTTCTTACTCTTGCATACAGTAACGACCATTCCCTTCAACTCTCTGTCTTATCGTTTCTTTTCATCGACTATATTACGGTCAAATTTATCTATAATTAACCTTTCGAAAACATATTTAACAAAAAAAAAGTTAACAAAACCTATAAATCTAACCTATAACGCCTACCAGCCAAGCATTACGAAACGTGTGTAATTTTCAGATTGGCTAAACACACACACACACACACGGACACACAGGCCGTTCGACTGTAACGAACCTATAGATCCTACGGGAGCCAGAGTCCTCGTAGCAATCAGCCAATCAACCTAGCTGTTCGGCGGTTTCTCTAAATCTTGCTTCTGGACCGAGTGTAATTTGCCGGGCTGTGGAGCGTTTTGTGCGTCGTTTACGCGGCGATTGCCCGATTGGTAAATCGCTAGCACCGTACTTAGGATGGTTGCCGCGTGCAGGGCGCGCGGTCTTGCCGCGTGTACAAGCCAACGTACGTGTAGAATCGCGCGGGTATATGCGGTGTACGTACGTCGGTTACGTAGCTACTTACGCTAGCTTCCGTGATACATGGAGGTCGCACCTAAATTTCCCCTGGGAGTCATACGTCTCTCTGGCCTCTCGGCAACCCTCTCTCTATTTTCCCTCTGTGTGTCTCTCGCCTCCTCTCGCTCGTTCTCGCCCGTTCTTCGCGGCGATTTCCACTTCCTCCTTTTACTCTCTCCCCCCTCCTCTCGATCCTCGTACCCGACGACCATCTCTCGCTTCTCGTTTTTCGTTCTCTCGAACGTTTACCGTGGAACCAAAGATCAAACGTCGGAGGCCGGTTGCAGGGAAAAGAAGTTGCGTTGGTTCTCTCCTCTCGTTCGTATACATTAAAATAATTGACCGGGGAGAACAGAGATTCGTCTTTGCTTCACGTTTCAATTTTCTTCCCGATACCATAAAATCCGTTCAAGTGATATCGAAGATAATTTACTGATGTACCGGACTCTTCGATTTTTCCTACATTTACCAAATAAGATGTACACTCTAGTTTATAAGTGTATCGGGATACTTATCGAATGTGAAGCAAATCTAAAGAGTTAGGTTTTCTCTGATATTTTATGAACGTCGGTGTATTACACGACGAGTTATACTTTGCTCTGAACGTATAAAGTTAAGTTCGTTTCGTTAATTTCATTTTGCGATAATCGGAAGATTGAACGAGTGAAATCAAGGCGAAGTTAAAGACCGTGTTCTCTGCGGTATGCGAAGAATCATGGCGGATTAAAAGCATCTCGCGTTCTCGAGGAGATATTAAACGCTGCAATAATAAAGCCGTGTCGTGTTGATCCTATCTTTTCTCCGTGTCGCGCGTTTTTAATAAAAACTACCCTCTCTCTTCACCCCACCCCGCCGCGTTTTACCGCGTTGAATCGTGCGACGAACGCGAGAGAGAGAGGGTTTCAAGATTGCGCGTAATTTTTCCGGGGAATGCGTCTTACTGAAATTATACGCGGCGTTTCATGCATACGTTATCGTTATGTCTAATAAAACGCGGCGATACCAGCGGTAGCTAGATGGCAGGGGTGTGAGAGGAGCGGTGGTCGTTGCAATTTTTGGAGAAATATCGTCGCGGCTCGCGTAATTTGCGTCGATGGGCCACATCTGGCCCCGTTGGGCGTGCGTTGTGCACCTCTGGAATAATAAATTGGCCCGCGGCCGTTCTGTGCCAGAAGCGACGCTTCTTCGAGGCATGTTCGCGACGAGCTTAAGCGGTATTATTGAAATTGCGCTCTGCTGCCGCCACACCGGGGCTTT